CCCTCTCCCTCTCCCTCTCCCTCTCCCTCTCCCTCTCCCTCTCCTCCTTCTCCCTCTCCCTCTCTCCCTCTCTTTCATAGACATATGAGGGGTGGAGGTGTATTCAAATGCTGGGAATCAAATCTGTGTTCTTCTATGTTATCCAGATGCTCTATCCCTGAACTACACCACCGCTCTCAGTCACAGCAAGATGCTTAACACATCATTTCCTCTATTAGAGCAACATTCTTCATGTACACAGCCAAGACTCCTATAGCAACCACCTAAGCAGTTTGTTATATCTGTAGGGCTCTAGGTTCTGCCCCATCTGTGGTGAATCGGCATCTTTGGCAACTGATCCTCTCAACTAGCACCCATGATACTAAAATATGAGATTTCTTGAGCTAGAACACAGCTGGGTTGTTGCCTGGTTTGGGGTTTTTGTTATTTGCTTAACATAGTCCATGTAGCTTAGACTAGCATCAAACTCAAAGTATAGCTAAAGACAACCTTGTGTTTCTTATCTTCCTGCCTCTACCTCCCCAGGGCTATAGTTACTGATGCCAGGTTGGGTTGATGGGGTGCTGGGAAGACAAGCAAGGGTTTAGTTCATGCTAATCAGGCACTCTTCAACCGAGCTACACCCCAGCACCAAGTCCTAGAGGGTAGGGAAATATGTTGGCATTTAGGAGTTTTGTTTATAAAAAAGGTTAGCCCTTGGGGTCAAACATATAACAGATATTTAACAACCACTCACGTGTCAAACTAATACTGTACTGCAGTCATTCTCTATCTACATAATTGCTACATAGTGGTTAAGACTAAATGCAAATACAGCCAGATAGAGAACCTGTAATTAAGACACCTTTCATTTGCATACGACATGTACCGTACCAGTTATTGTGACATTCTGTTGCCAAGAAGTTTTGTTCCATATGTAATCTTCAGCTGAGTCCTTTATACTTCAGGGCAGGGTTTATTGCTGTTGTTTGTTGTCAAGGGCTGTAAAGAACCATCAAAGTGTAGCCTCTCTTGTGCAAACTGCCACCGACAACATTCTGTAACTTTAAAACCCTGTTGCTGAAGCACAAATGATAGTGTGTGTGTGAAGGGGAAAAAAAGCCTAGAGTGGGAACCGTTATTGTAACCACGTGGTCTAGTAACTTTAAAGCATGTGTTTCCAAGTCTTCGGACCACTTCAGGTGTGTATGAGTTTAATAAAGCATATGCAAATAAATGCTTGAGAATAGAATAAAATAGAATACATAAATAATTGAAAACAGGGCGAACATGTGAATAAAATGTTATCCATCATGTGCTGCCAGCATTTGTATCTATACTCCGTGCAAAAACCATAATTAAACATAGGGAACTTAGTTCCTCTCAATGCCCTGTTAAGAGCTTGCCTGTGCACCCAAGCTCCCTCTCTGGTCGTCACAAGGTGTAGCAAATTTGTGTGCCGTCTCTTTAAGTTGTAATAGAATCCCGATAGCATCGATCACGGGCTCACATCCGCCTGGCCACCACCGATCACACCTCTCTCCAGGTTACTACCAGCTTCCCGACACCAACTCGCGAGTCCGCTACGTCGGATGCACGGGGGCTTCACTGTGTGCGGGCGCGGTGGACTCCCCCGGGGCGCGCTCCCGCCAGGCCCTCGGCTGTCAGCAGCGCGGGCGGCGTCTCGGGGCTCGTCTGGCCACGCCTGGAGCGCGGGCTTTGATTGGGCCGCCGTTGTTGTAGTGACCGGGAAGCGCCCGCACTCCAGGCTGACGGTTCCGGGCGCCGCACGGTCCCCCCTCGTCCCCACCCTTCCCTATTCCCCCAAAGCCCCGGACGCCGTCTGCTTCCCGCATGGCTTCCGGCCCGGTAAGGTCCCCACCGCTACCGGAGCCGACCTTTGGGCGACGGGACCGGGGGAGAGGGACCACGCCGGGCCTGGCAGGCCTGGGAGGTAGTCCCGGACCCGGAGCTCCGGAGCTCACTCAGCTCCCCGGAGCGGGACGCCGTGCCCGGGTGAAGCGGTGGGAGCTGCTCCAGGGATCCCGGTGCTCGGGGCTGAGCCGGAGCCGGCTCCGGGACTTGCCGGCTGGGTTCCGCGGCATGCCTGCGTCAGAATCACCTGGGAGGTTTAAAGGGCGCGGGAGGCTGCGGCGAGCATCTGCCGTTCGGCGCGGTGGGCGGGTCCCTCGGCGGCTCGCACCGGTGCCTGGGCTCGGCGGGGTTCCTCCGGATGGGGACCCCTCCGGATGGGAGCTGGGGCAGTGCCCGAGCCTCTCAGCTGAGTTATGATGCCCGCGCCTCCCTCGCTGACCGCTGATGGATGCTGCGGGGTCCTCTTCGGTCCCCGGGGGAGGGACAGGCAACGTTGACCTCTGACCTCGAGAGTTTGAATTCTGCACCTGCTTTCAGACCTAACAACTTTCCATCCTAGGAGGATCCGATTCTGGAACGTTATTTTAAAGGTCACAAAGCTGCGATCACCTCCGCTGACTTCAGCCCCAACTGCAAACAAATTGGTAAGTTTTTTGTTTTCTTTCTTTCCTTTTCTGACAGTCACCAAAGCTCACTTGGCTGAAAGACTTACTTTTTTATCCCTGTCTGAGAGAGCCAGGCGCGATGGGGTACACAGGGCCACTCTGGGTCCCCCGGTCTTTGCTCAGTATGTACTACTCGCTGGTCTGGGTCTGACAGACAACTTTCGTGAACTAACCACCAGGAGGAGTGAGTGGGAAGGGGAGGGGTTTGTGATCGGCCTAGGGAGGGTGGAGTATTGGCTGGAGAGTTTGTGAAAAGTTCTGAGACGAGCAGGAGGAAGTGAGGACCGAGCAGTTGAGCTGCACCAGAAGCTGGGGGGAGCGAGGGGTCTCAAGTAACCCCTGGGAAACTCCGGGTATCGGGAAGGAGCCGAGCGCCTACATGAAAGGAGGGACCTTCTCGGAAGTTCGCCCCTACCTGAGCCGGGAACTCCAACCTCAGGATCCACTGTACTTCCCCCGCGTGCTGGCTCGGTGGCCGCGTCTACACACGACCCGTGAGGATCCGGATGGCCGTGAGGTGGACCTGGGCAGGCAAGAGCTGCCTGCTGCTGGCGCTTTTAACACTGGCTTATATTCTGGTGACATTCTCAGTCTCCACTTTGTATGCCTCCCCAGGAGCCGGCCGTTTCAGGGAGCTGGGGCCAAGACAGCTCCCAGACCTTGAAAGGAGGGAAGAGGATTTGTCTCGGCCTCTTTATGTAAAACCCCCTGCAGATTCCCATGCCCTTGGGGAGTGGGGGAGAGCCAGCAAACTCCAGCTCAACGAGGGTGAACTGAAGCAGCAAGAAGAACTCATTGAGAGATATGCCATCAACATTTACCTCAGTGATAGGATATCCCTGCACCGCCACATAGAGGATAAAAGAATGTATGAGTGTAAGGCCAAGAAGTTTCACTACAGGTCTCTCCCCACCACCTCCGTTATCATTGCCTTCTATAACGAAGCCTGGTCCACTCTGCTACGAACCATTCACAGTGTTTTAGAAACATCTCCGGCTGTGCTTTTGAAGGAGATCATCTTGGTAGATGACTTGAGTGACAGAATTTATCTGAAGGCGCAACTTGAAACTTACATCAGCAACCTCGATAGAGTTCGCTTGATTAGAACCAATAAGAGAGAGGGTCTGGTCCGGGCCCGTCTAATTGGGGCCACTTTTGCCACCGGGGATGTCCTGACTTTCCTGGATTGTCACTGTGAGTGTAACACTGGTTGGTTGGAACCACTTTTGGAAAGGATCGGTAGCGACGAAACAGCAGTTGTGTGTCCAGTTATCGACACTATTGACTGGAATACTTTTGAATTCTACATGCAGACCGGGGAGCCCATGATTGGTGGTTTTGACTGGCGTTTGACCTTCCAGTGGCATTCTGTCCCCAAACATGAAAGGGACAGGCGGACGTCAAGAATTGACCCTATCAGGTCACCCACCATGGCAGGAGGACTGTTTGCTGTCAGCAAGAAGTATTTTCATTACCTGGGAACCTATGACACTGGCATGGAAGTCTGGGGAGGTGAAAACCTTGAGCTGTCTTTCAGGGTTTGGCAGTGCGGTGGCAAGCTGGAGATCCACCCATGTTCTCACGTGGGCCACGTGTTTCCCAAGCGCGCGCCCTATGCTCGCCCCAACTTCCTACAGAATACCGCGAGGGCGGCTGAAGTCTGGATGGACGACTACAAAGAGCACTTCTATAACCGAAACCCTCCGGCTCGAAAAGAGGCCTATGGTGATATTTCTGAAAGGAAGTTACTGAGGGAACGGCTGAAATGTAAGAGCTTCGACTGGTATTTGAAAAATGTGTTCTCTAACTTACACGTCCCCGAGGATAGACCTGGCTGGCACGGAGCCATCCGGAGCATGGGCATCTCTTCCGAGTGCTTAGATTATAATGCTCCTGACAGCAACCCTACAGGGGCTAACCTCTCGTTGTTTGGATGCCACGGTCAGGGAGGCAATCAGTTCTTTGAATATACTTCAAACAAAGAAATCAGATTTAATTCCGTGACTGAATTATGTGCAGAGGTCCCCCAACAAAAGGATTATGTAGGGATGCAAAACTGCCCCAAAGATGGGCTCCCTATTCCAGTAAACATCATTTGGCATTTTAAAGAAGACGGAACGATTTTTCACCCTCACACAAGACTGTGTCTTAGTGCTTACCGGACAGCCGATGGCCGACCTAGCGTCCAGATGAAAGCCTGTGATGCCCTTGATAAAAACCAGATCTGGAGGTTTGAGAAATAGTCAAGCAGAACAGCACCTTCTCTTCGGGAGCTGACTCTAGCCTCTGGAATGTCGCTGTGCCCCATGATGATTGTATTTTACCAGAAGTCACCTGGCAGCTGTCTGTAAGAACACTGGGGATATCACTCTGAAGCTGGGTACACAGAGCACCGCTGCTCAATAGCTCAAAGTGCCTTCTCTGCTCTCGGGTTGTTTTATTTAAAAGCTTTGTCAATAAGGTCTCCTGCAACTCCTTAAAGAAAGCTGTTGTGAACTGAGATGCACAAACAAGCTTAGCAGTAGAATGCTTAGCTAGCTTGTGCAAGACCCTGAGTCTGACCCACAGCACCACAAAATACATGCAACACTTAATGTTTAGAACATAAAAAGTACAGGCAAAATGGGGTAGGAGTCATTCTGATTGGTAAATTCATTGCATGTACTTTTTTTTGTTGTTTTTTTTAAATCAAAACATGTGAATGTGTAATTAGAGCTATTACTTTTTGATTACATTCTTTTAGCCAGCACATTAAATTTTAGGTTTTTAAAAACCAACTTGTCTTTGATGAAATAAAAGTTGAAGAAATTTGATCTTGAGGAAGAGGCCTGGAGTTGGTATGTTTTATTGGAAGAGGGTCCTGGTCTGAATGCCAAGTTTGGAGGTCTTATTTTATTTTGAGACAGATCTTATGCATCCTAGGCTGGCCTTGAACTCCTGAGTCTTTCTTCCGCCTCTCAAGTACTGGGATTACAGGCGTGTGCTGCCACAGGTGGTTTGGAGGTCTTTTTTGACAGATGGATATCTCGGAAAGACAGTGAGCCATTCATCTTCTGTTCTTTGTAACCGTGAGCTGTTGTACTGAACTGACTTACATCTCCGTACCTCACATCACTCTGCTCTGTAAGCTGCACTCTGTGAACTTGTTCGTGAGTCATAGGGCATTTTTCTGATCGCACCTCCTTAAGTTATGAATGTACTAGAATGAAGCTCATTCAGAATACCGCGCCTCCCTTTGTCAATGCCTAATCATTTGAAGTAAACACAATTGAGACCTCCTTGAAGCTAACCCCAAATGCATTTCCTGAAATGTGTGAAACTGAAAGTAGGTCCAGTTCTGCAGTGTTCCACGCTCCCCCCACCCCCAGAGTTAGTACTGACCTGGAAATTTAGGGGCTTCATCTTAAGATTGCAAGTGGAAGAAAAGGCTGTCTTGGTCCTTGTTGATCGGTGCCTTGAAGCTCCTTGAAGCACCGAGCAGCCTGGCACTCGGGTAGCCTCTTACTGAGTGTGAACAAATGTCTCAGCGCAGGGTGGCCTCAGTTGAGTCGTTCGTTTATCTTGCTTGGGCCTCAGTTTCCTCTTCTGTGTTGCTGGATTGGCTCTTTAGGATCCCTTTCCGTCTGAAGGTCAGCCGTACATCCCTCTGTGCTGCTCACCGGCTGTGCCACTTGGAGAAACACTTTTGTGCCTTGACTTTTAACATAGGTAGTGCTGAGTAGCTGGACAGCGCTCTGTTTTGAAGATGGAAAAGTGATTGTTAAACTTATGCGAGCTGAGCTCACCTGAAGTGCTGTGTTTCTCAGAGGATATTATCATAGTTAGTTTTCCAGTCACTTTATTTTGACAGCTGTTGAACTAACTGGTTCTGCTATTTAAAGGTTTTAAATTTTTCAAAGCAATCTTTGACTAAAAATATAAATATTTCCCAAACTAGATTATTTCAGAATAAACATGTTTTACCACATTTTTACTAGTTCCCTACTAACATTTTATCCAGAAAGCACAGGCCAAATTTGGGAGTGATTCTCAGTTTCTTGACTTTGATACAAAAAGTGCATGTTCCATAGAGAACCAGCCCACAGGAATTCATAAGAAAATTGTTTTCAATGTTTGCTTGACAGGATGGAGAGGGGGAATTTTGTAAACTCTGAATTTAAGTAAATTGTCTAGAGTGACCATTGGAAAACATTAGCGTTTGTGTGTACCTGTGACTGTTTTGTTTCTCACTAATTCTTAGAAGGAAAATCTCTTACTACTTTTTTCTAAGTTATCCAGCATCCTTAAAGTTTAACCTGTCTAGATTCCATGAGCAATAGTTGACCCTGGGTTTTATTTAAGGAAAATATATAAAAGTGCTCATTCAGGAGGAAATTTTCCTACATGCATTCTCTCCTTGTCCTAGTCTTTTTGTGGTTTGTTCTGGTCAGCCCTATCACATGAGAGAATTAAATGTATGCTATTCAGAAGTGAAAATACTTTTACTTAGTATCTCTGTGCCCCTGACAGAAGAGAGAAGAGGCTTTTAAGACTCAAGTCTTTCTTCTGTGTGACCTGTCTCTCTCTATTAGTGGTTATGGCCCCTCAGTCCTTTTTAAGCTAGTAGTTGATTTCTGTCAGAAGAGTATAACTCAGAATAATGTACATAACAAAGGAAACTGGAATTGTATTTTATATGCAGACATGTTCCAATTTCATTCCCAAAGCACACCATAGTGAAACACTCAAAAGACTCTGTCACTTATTTCTGGTTTTTGGCCAACCACCCAAGTTCTCCCTTTGGCTGTAGAATTTACATGTTGAAGTGTGAGGAAAATATTTGATGAGCAAGGAGTTCTCCATTTTGTTGTTTACTTGACCAGTCCTGTGAATAGACTAGCCACATAAGCATCTTAGCACTTGTTTTGATTTTAAAATGGTAATATAGTCATCAGAAGGATTTCTGTAACTTTAAGTACCTTGTTTGTAAAGAGAAAGTGTGTTTATTCAGCCAAAAAATAGGCTCTTACATGTGCATTAATGTTAGCAGACTCAAATCCAGGCAAAGGATTTATTTTTAAGTTGTGTACTCTCGGTTATTTTATTGTCTCGGTTTTAATGAATAAAATTTAGATTTGACTTGTCTTTTGGAATTGGTATTTTAACAAGATTTCTGAATGAGCATAAAGCAGAGGTTTAGATTTATGTCTTTTGAACAGTGACTGTTTCTTTTTGTTAATGGTGTCTGTAATATTGGAGAAGACATGCAATAAAATGTATGCCTAATTATTTTTGCAAACCGATTCTGATGATTTTGGTCTATGGAGTTAATGTTCCTATGTTCATGCTGATGGTGGTGGTGGGATAGCTACATAAATGTTATTGTTTTACTTGAAAGTTCAGACAAGGTCTAAGTTGGGCTTCCTGCTTAACCATGTAGGATGCCATCAGCCAGTAAGGATGTGGTGGCAGCGCTATTATGAATTATGAGCAAACTGGAAGTGATAAGGATCTCTGGGACTGTTCAAGGAAACAAGTGGGCCCCTGGACATATGAACACCACTCCTTTCAAAATCTTGGGGTGAATAGAAAACTCTTGTCCCCTAAGAACCATGCAGCCTCACCCTTTCCCCTGTCTATAACTGCAGTCCCCTCCCACTGGTAGCGTGAGTGATTTTTTTTTTTTCCTTTCTGGAACAGGGTCCCATGAACCCCAGACGGTCTTCACTGCTATGCAACCAGGGATGGCCTTGAACTTCTGATCTTCTTATTCCATCTCTTAACAAGTACCTTGTATCCTTGCCTCTCCAGTGAGATATGTTGTCCTGAAGGTGTTTATCCTGTGTACCCTGCTTCTATCAGATATATTGACTCCACATTTAAGGACACGTATTAGATACGCAAGCATTTTTCTTGTTGTTATATATAAAAAGTTTCTATAAATGCAGATGTTCCCTCTAAGCAACTCTTTTTTGGTTGGTTGGTTGGTTGGTTGGTTTTGAGTGTTTGTTTGTTCGTTTGTTTGTTCGTTTGTTTGTTTTTCGAGACAGGGTTTCTCTGTGTAGCCCGGGCTGTCCTGGAACTCACTCTGTATACCAGGCTGGCCTCGAACTCAGAAATCTGCCTGCCTCTACCTCCCAAGTGCTGGGATTAAAGGTGTGCGCCACTACTGCCTGGCTCTAAACAACTCTTTAAGTTTGTTAGTCAGGTTGTGTCTCTGAGTTTTGGTTTCATGAATGTAAAAGGAAGGCTGGGCAAATTGTATGCAGTGCATTCCTGGCTGAGAAGGCTTTAGAGAGGGAGGGAAGAGGCTGGGAAATCCCAGGCGTCCCACAGAAGAGATTTTTGTAACACATACATTCATTCTGCAGCTTAGTACTAGGTCAAAGGTGAAAAGTCGGTTTGTATCGTAATTTCCTCGAAATTCTGAGAAGTCACAGTGCATCCCTTTGCCTAGAAGACAGAGAGTACAAAGAGGAGATGAATGCCTTAGGCACATAGCTGTTCCCAAGATTCTTATCATTTGCTGATGATAATCCGATACACCCTTTTCCTTCTGCTCAGTTTTATGACTTGCCCAGGCTGCTAGGTGGGGCACGATAACTCTTAATAGCTAAGAGGTAGCCCATGGTGTCTGCTCAGGGTTTTAAGTCACTTATTTGCAGTTCTCTAACCTATTCAAAACAGGGAAGGGAGGGACTGTTGATTTAATAATCCTTTAGTTCATGCTTCCGTGTTCGAGGGGCTGTCATGTTCTGGAAGTATACGTGTACAAGAGAACAAAACAGATACATTTCTAAAATGATATGAAGGGCTCATAGTCCAGTGAGAAAGACAAATATGCAAAGGAAAGCCACACATCCTTGTGTAACTAACTACTATGACGGAACAGAGGAACAGTCAGCGCTGCAGAAAAGGAGCAGGTGGCAGTAGGTGGCAATCAAAATGGAGTATGAGATAAAGGAAGGAATATTGAACTCAAGTCCTGAAGAGGGAACCAGCTGTGGAGACAGGAGAAAGAAGGCAGCGCAGGGAAAGACCAGGGGTAGGAAAGACCTTGTCTTAAGGGGAAGTCGGAGAACATCCAGAGAGGACAGAGCCTCAGACTCAAAGGGAGACAGAGAGATGAGCTCGTAGGACAGGCAGCCAGAGCTTGGCTAGGACTCAGACTACAAGCAGTTGCATAGCTTCTGGTGGCTCTACAGAAGATTTGCCTGTCTTCGTCCATATGTGTCCCGTGTCCCTTCCTCCCTCTGATGTGTCTTTAGGCAAAAGGGTTTTGTAGTTATAATTTATGGCCTTGGTAAATTCCATTACAATTACCCTTAGAAGAAGAACACACAGTAGCTGTGTCTCTAATGTAGCATTAGAAAGGCTGAGGAAGAACCTCTGTGAGCATAGCGCCTACCTGGGAAACAGTGAAATACATACTCAAAAAAACCTCCCTTCAAAAAGAAAAACAAAAGCAGTTGACAGGCAGGCGTCCTGGCACACGCCTGTAATCATCAGGGAGGCGTTAAGGAAGCTGAGGCAGGATTAGGAGAGTTTAGATTCGTGTGGACTACTTAGAGATACCCAATCCCCAATCCAAACAAACCAGTCAAAAACCCAGATAAGGGGAGGCCAAGCCAAAGGGAGCCAGATGCAGACTACAGGGAGGCAACCACAGAAGATGCACAGAGGGGAAGGCAATGGGACTTCCCAGGCCCTTCGGAAGGGACTGGTTTTTTTCTGTCCACACCTTGACCTCTGGCCTCCAGAACTGTGGAGTATCAGCTGCTGTTGTTTTAACGTTCTGAGTTAGTGGTACTTTGCAATGGCAGCCACAGGAAATGGAAGCGGGCATTTACGATCTGATCTGATTTATGTTTCAAATTTATGGCTACTGTAATGAAAACAAAGTAGGAAAGCCCTCTAGAGCTGCTGTAGGACCCTCAGAGGAGGGTCGGTGCGCAGGACGCTTGCGCAGAAGGAGCCTGCTCCTCAAACTAGCCCCGGGCTTGCTGAGTGTCAGGAGATTACGGAAGGGATGTGGTCACAGGGAAGAAGCAGGAGAATGGGAGATGGCCTATGCCTGGGCCCTTCCTAGCGCTGGGATTTAGAGCAAAAGAGATAGTCAAAGAATCAGAAAGCCTCCAAGAGTGGCATCATATAGGATAACCAGGAAGGCACGGTCTGTGGTGCAGTACACACTGAAGGGAGGGGTGAGCTGGGCAAACAGAGAGGTGGTGGAACAGAGTGAGGGAAAGGCCGTTTCAGACTTCCTTTCCCCTGCTGCCCCAGCAGCTCACTGTGGTCCCACACTGGCCCTGGTGAGTAGCAGCCCCCACCATTCACCTGCTCCACAGAGGCTCCTCACAAATGGGTCTCACTGTGCGGCTTACAATACATCGCTCCCACAGTTTCCCTACGTTCTCCAGGCAAAATCCAACCATCCTGGGATTTCTGAGACAATATTTGAGCCGGACACACACCTTCCCACACACTGTAAACCCATGGTTATCCAGTCCACACAGATCTTCTCTGCACAGCAAGAGGCGTGCGATCCTTAGCCATCCCCCTCAACATACTCACAAAGGGATTTCAAAGTGTATTTAAAGGGCGTGGATCCAGGGGGAGGGGAAGTCGGGAGGGACCAGGAAGGAATAGAGGGAAGGGAAACTGTCATCAGGATATAGTATATGAAAAGAGGATATTTTCAATGAAAGGAAAAAAACGTTTTTTTAAAGAATTATGTTTTCCCTATGTATATGTAATTTCTTTGCCCTGTTCTCGGCTTGAAGGCCTCACTTAGAGATTTGGCCTTTTAAAACACTAGCACAACCCCTCCCCCACTTCATGTGAATAGGTGGGGGGGGGCACACCTATGCATACCTATTTCTGGAGGTCAGAGGCCAGTGGACAGCCTCAGGGGCCATTTCTAACTTGTTTGATTTTGTCTAAGTGATGTACTGTGTGTGTGTGTGTGTGTGTGTGTGTGTGTGTGTGTGTAGTTTGGTTATGTGTGGGTACATGTGTGTGCACATTAGTGTGAGGCCAGAGGTTGATGTCAGATGTCTTTTCACGTTCTTTTCCACCTTTATTTTTTGAGTCAGGATCCTTCACTGAACCGGAAGATAACTGACTTGGCTAATAAAGCCTCCCCAGCCCTGGGCTCACAGTTACATGTCAGTATGCCTGGTTTGGTTGGTTGGTTTGGTTTTTTTCATTGTTGTTGTTTTATTTGTTCAATATGGCTTCTGGGGGTTGGTGAAGTTAGGCCCTCGTGTTTCCGAGGCAAAGCACACTGTATCGGCCATGACAGCTCACCAGCCTGAGGTAGTCCTCTTGAATAAACTAATTATGCCAGGAGTTGGAGCAGAGAGTCAGCCATGGCGAAGAGGATAAGCTGTGAAAGAAAAAGGATGCAGCGGGTTAGAGGCTTTTAAGAGACTCGGTGTCCCTGGCAGTCACATGGGGTTGGAAGTGGTTAAGGGGGCCTCTGGCTGTAAAGGAGATCGTGTGTCCATACTTCTCAGGCCCACGGGTCACATTTAGGAAGAAGACGCAGTACAGAGCCTTTAACTAAGGGGATGTGCACAGCACCATGGGAGTGTAAGTTTACTCCATGACTGATGAGCACAGACACTTAAGACAACTGCTGGTCGTACCTGGAGGAAGCCAAGCATGCAGCAGGAAGGTATGTCTGTATCCTCCCTTTCTCCAGCACCCTCCTGTCTGACTGACTCTCTCTCTCTCTCTCTCTCTCTCTCTCTCTCTCTCTCTCTCTCTCTCTCTCTCTGCCCTTCCCTTCCTTCCCTTCCTCTCCAGGTTGTCTTTACTGAAGTTTTTTTTATTTTTAAACACCCACAGGTCCTTTACACACAGAATTTTTGTGTTTTGTGTTTTGTGTTTTGTGTTTTTCCTCATCCACAGCAGAGGAAATTTAAATTAGGGCTAGCACTTAGGGCTGACACCGTGGTTCATTGCTTGGATAGTACAAACAGTCTCTGAGCAGATTAAGCTGTTTACATTTGTAGTCGCAGTTAGAATACTGTGATTTTACTGAATAGCCCTCATCCATTTGGGTTTATAAATGTGTGTACCCGAGGATTACATTTTATTTTTTTAATGATCGACAGAGAAAGCCTTATCATTTCCTTGTTTATCTTTCCCTAAGGAAGGCAGTCTGTCGCTCTCTGCTGTGGCCCGAAGGCCACTGAGCCTCTGAAATGCAGGAGCAGTTCTGAGTGTGGGCCTGCAAACCTGAACTAGCAAAGAGCAGAAGCGGAAACCGTGGAAGGGCTTCTGTAATAACTGTG